TACCGGTTGGTCAAATCGTAGAGCTGTATGATTGTTGTAGATGTATACTACAATCAGAATCCTCAATTACACATATCATAATCTATACTCCTAATGAAGCAGTTGGTAGTCTCCGCCGATCAATTTTCGTCCTATTAGAGATGGTTAGTTTTCGTCCTCGATTTCACCTCTCGAGACCGACAAAAAAATTGATATACTACCACGATACCAGTTATAAAACACTACGATTCATAGACAAAAAATCGTCTTAAAAAAATCTACAACTGTTAACCTACGAAAAATAGACAGAAGCTCGCACCCGAATCCTCGTGCCCTCGACGCGGCCTCTGAGACCCGCCATTGCGGAACCCCTCCATCTCTCAGACCACATCGCCGCCGCCGCCGACCTCTCCCAGTCCCTCTCGTACCACGCCGCCGGCCCCCCTCCCCTCCCCTCCCCTCATCAGAAAGAAGGAGAGACAGGGATGCTCTTCCTCAGACGGCGGCGGCGGCCAGATCGAGCAGGGCAGGGCACCACACGGCGCTCTCCGATCCGCCACGGTCGCAAGAGGAATCGCGCCGGATGGGAGAGGACCGTCTGCTACGACTGCTTCGTGCGTCGTTGTTGGAGATGCTCGCGCGCCGGGAGCTTCCTCCGCTCTCCCCCTGCCCCGACCGTAGGTACTCGATCTCTCGCCCCCCCTTCCCTTCTCCTCTTTGATCTTCTCTTCTATTCTCCCCACCCTGATGCGCCATCCCTTTTCCCTTCCACGCGCACACGCAGACGCAGCAGCAGCGCACACCGCCATTGGTTGTGGCTGGTTGTACCTCGGAGCTCCTTCCTTCCTGCTTCCCCTGATTGCGCCTCCGGGGACTAGGTAAGCCTGTCCCACCTGCTCTCTCAACATATACACGTTTGGTACTACTTGACTAGCATGAGAAATCTTAACTTTTCCTAGCGATGAACTTGTTTTCTGGATCCCAAATGGAGGATGAAGTTGAATATATATACTACAGCCGGATGATCAAGTCCAAGTATTCGTATGTTGCTATATTGTTAGTCACTAGCATGTGCCCATGGCACCCAAGCTGGCGTAGGCGCTGCAGATTGCCCTCTCGCCAAAGCCTCAACCAGGTGTGAATCCCTCCTCCACTTCTTCTGGTTTGGTTTATCTCTGCATCTGATGCGGGCGGTTGTGTGCAGTTTGCTATGATATATGTAGAAAGGACCACAACTTTTAATTTTCCCTTGTTATAATTTGTACATGAAGTCATGAAGACTTCCTCTGTGTATGAATTTGTTTTCAGTCTCATTCAACACTCTCTATTATGGTTGAATTTGGTACTTTTATTTCTGTGCAAAATGAGGGCAATATAATGTTTCTTTCATACATGATACAGCTGGTGAAATAGCTGCAGAATTACAGTGTACCTCAAATTTCATAATTGGGAACTGCAGTCATGGGTATCTTGTGGCTTCATCAGTTCATCACTATCTTATAAGGCGGGAATTACTCAGGTATGACTCACTAAACTATGGTTGAGGTTTTGAACTTTTTTTCTTTACTGATTATGTTAGAATATTCATTGCAGCACAATATTACTCATGCACTGGAAAAGACCAAATATCCAGATCGAGACATACTGGAGGAAATTTGATGAGAAGTATCATTTTTCTTGTCAGTTTACTTCTGATATAATCGCTATGAACACTGTTGATTTCATAATCAATGCACTTGATGTTTCACGATCTGTACTGCAGATTTTCAGAACACTAAGGGCATATCTTGGCTTGGAATGCTGATGGTTGGGCGAACGCCATGGATCATGGCAAGTGCGATTTTCAGAACACTAAGGGCATATCTTGGCTTGGAATGCTCATGGTTCGACGAACGTCATGGATCATGGCAAGTGCTCCTCTCCACTTCCCCTCCCTGCTAAAAATCAGTTCCAATTGTTGTACAAGTTTCCCGATATGGCTTTCTGAATTTTAATTTGTCGCTTGTTCTGTCGTACTCGGTGGTTATTGTTTGGCCTACATATAGAGGTAAATGTTTTGTATGAGATTATTTATCCGGACCTCACCGATGATTACTTGAACTCAGGTTGGACAACATATGAAATGTTAAATTTAGCAAGATATTGCGATTCGATTTCTCTTTCAATGTCATCATCCTGCAATGGATGTGTATGTCTATTTTGTCATCTAGTTGCGATGCATGGGCACTTTCATTTGATTATACAGTTCTACTGCGGGAAGGGAAATATGGACTCTGGATGTCCATTTCTGAGGTGTCAATCTGGTGCTCGGCTATATAGTACAGGGAAGAGTTCTTCTAGATCCTAATACAGGTAATCTGATTCATAGCTTAGGTGCATTTTTCTTTATTCATAGTTAGCTAATAGCAATAACATCTGCACTTTCCCTACAACCTATATTGAAGGTAAAGTAATGATTTCACATATGCACTTTCCCTACAACCTATATCGAAGGTACTAACTGCAATATTTTCCATATGAACCTGATAAAGATAGTACTAATACCTTGAATTTCTACAAAGAATAGGTGACACCAAGTTGCCAACCATTTTTGGACCTGTCATCTTTTTCCCCACTAGGGCGCTTCCTTCAAATTTATCATGGGTGCCCTCAAGTTGACACGCTTGTTCTTATTGTTGCTTATGTATGAATTTCCTGAGAGCTGCTTACGTATTTTTTATTCATGAATTACATGACCAATGAGTCAGGTGTGAAGATGTTTTATAAATCAAGACAACCAACATGCTGAAATTTTGGAGCAATTGCTGAAGGAAAGTACCACTTACTCTTGTTTCTAGTAGATTTCATCATTTTATTCTTAGAGTCAGCTACATAGTTAATATTGCAAAACTTATAGTTCATGGTGAAGGAAAGTACCTATTGCAAGTAGACTTCATCATCTTATTCTTAGAGACAGCTACATATGGTTAATATTGCAAAACTTGAAGTTCCGGTTTGTGATATGTACGTCCCCCTCTGCAGAAATGCTTAATACTACTATGAGAAAAGTAGGGAAATGCTCACCCTCTGCAAAATGTATTGGTTCGTCTCGCGGTCTCACCCCCAAAAATAGAGGAGAGGAGCAAGGAGCTCCTCCATCACACTCGTAGGCTCCAAGGAGCCCGCCGCCATGCATGGAGGAGAGGAGCAGGGAGCTCCGCCGCCGCATAAGGTTATATCCATTGTTGCATCTTGTAATTATTAATTTGGAATAAATCATGCAATTGGCATTTATATAAGTTTGTAGGCAAACCAAGTCTGCAACTTTTGAATATTATACTCGGTGAGTTGCTCAACTACTTACAGTCCTATTACTTGAGACTTATACTTGATCAGTTGCCGTGTACATTATTATGACATAGATGAAACCATGTCTATGTTGAAGCTAGATGGAACTGACCATCTAAACATATGTCAAATTATTGTGGTACATGCTTCAGTACTGCAAGTTGGAGTAGCAAGTAAGTATAAATCAAAAGAAAGTATTGCTTCAGTACTGACCATCTAAAAAGTTCAGTTGTTTATTGACATGTGCATCTTGTTCATCCTTTTGTTATTGAATTTGGAAACGCGTGTAAGGTTTCCGTATCTTGAAGTTATGAATACTGAGAAGTGCAAGCCTTTCTCTTCTAGAAATTACGGAATTGGCTCACACACTATCAAATAATTTGATGCACTCTTTTTTTATTTTAAATGGTTAGGAGGAACAAGTGAAGGCTTCTATTTTGGATCAGTTCTTTTATTGCATAGTTGGATAACAATTTCTTAATGATTATTAGAATGATACTCAAACATATGAACGTTCTCCATAATCAGATTAAATCACTCCTGCAGCCTGCAACTGTAGTAAATAAAATTATTTAGATTCAAGCTAAAAAAGAATTATTCAGATTCTACCATGTATCTACTTACAAACTAAAAGAGAATGTAACCATATAATGATTATTTAGATTCAAGCTAGAAAAGAATTATCCACACGCCAACAATTTAGGTAAGAGATTTACGCCCCGCTTGGAATCGGTGTATCTATATCCTGTATTTATTTTACAAGTGTATTTTACCGGCCACGCTTGATAATCCACCTGGATAAAAAAAGATGGATGGAGGCGTGTAAGTTTTACAGGTGTATAGCGCTCTGAAACGAGAATCCAATCAGGCCCTTAGATTATTTGTGTAGGTTATTATAATATATAATGCAGAGATCTCAGGGTATAAGGTGCAGCAATAAGTCTTGGTTTTATTTTGCATTTTGAGTACTGAATTACAAAAGATATGATGCTTGCACGAAATTTCAGTGTCATGATAATTTTCACTTCACAAAAAGATTGAAACATTGCTCCTACAACTGTGGTACCTGTTTGCTGTGATGGAAGGTTACGGGTAAGCTCACTTATCACAGGAAAGAAATGATTGGTTCAGTGTGCTTCACGAAATTAACTTGCCACTGCAACACAATTTACAGTTCATCAGTTTTGAGCCTAAGTTCCATTTTATTGATGCTTCCTTTATACATAGATTTATTGGCTTGCCTCTTCCTCTGCCATTTGATTTCCTTCAGATTACTTGCATCATAAATTTCAAGGTTACAGATCTGGCATTGAATGAGACAATCATTATTAGGATTGAAGGATGCTTCAATGATGCTGTCAGCAGTAAGAAACACTTGCAAATGTATGTCTCGTCTGTTTAAACGTGCGCTCTGTAAATAAATGTAGGCAACTGTCACAATATTGATTAGTGCAATATTTGAATAAGAAGTAGTAGTTTTAGATTTTGTGTAGCTGTATAGTATCTCAGTTATGAAATAAATAATAGCCTTCCTCGAAATAGTTTTTTTTGCGTTGCTTTTTATAACTCAATTGATTTTCTTATTTTATAGTATTAAAACAAAATGGCCTGCCGAGATCAATATCGGTGACATAGATAGCTTTAATGGGATGATGAAGCATTTGACCTGAGACGAGTGTCGGGAGGGGCTAAGCATGATTGCGACGAGGGCGAGACGTTGCTGCGACCGTGACCGCAACCGGTGGAGCGAGGCGCCAGTGATCGTGTTTTCCGCTGGTGTTTTTGATCTGCCGTGCTCGGTTTTTGGCAGCTTCGATCCAATTGATCCCCTCCAGAAGCATTCAGGTGAGTGAGCAACTTACGCTCCACCAATGCAGGCAGTGGCGGAGCTTAGTGTAGACCAACAGGGGCCATGGCCCCCCCTTATTTTTTGCATCCATTGAAGAATAGGCTACATTATGAGCCTAATTAGTGTTTGAACTACAAATTAGCCCCTCCTTCCCTATTAACTTGGTTCCTTTTCACTAATGGCCCCCTCTTGAATTACTCTCAAGCTCCGCCACTGAATGCAGGCGTCCAGAGGTTCAACTGCGTGGGTAGGAGCTCGGCCACTGAATGCAGGCGTCCAGAGGTTCAACTGCGTGGGCAGGAGCTCGGCTGGTTTGCTTATATGCATTTTTTTCTTCAACATTGGATTATTTTGGTAGTTCATGCATGTCCGTCCTCTTTATATGGTTTTTCTCATAATTCACGCCCCAAAGATAGGTTCTTTTAGTTACTACATATTTTAGTTTTTTCTGCTTACTGTCATGTCCACTTTCTTGTCTGATTAAGCAACTAATATATGAATATCTGTGCACAGTTCTACCATTTTTGCACTCACTTATGGGGCCATCTATGTTGAGTTTGTTCTGCTATTCTCCAACTTAAATCAAGAATGCAGTCTCATGTCATTGTCTTTGCTAATACAGATTGTAATGCAATCCAATTGTAGTGTCATGTTTCAGCTCCTTTTATTTTAATCGTGATGTGCATGGTTGTTCATGTTCTCTTCTTGCCATGCACTAATCGAAGTGTACATGTAGATGCTCAAAATTGCTTATCATCAAATTACTTGACTTATGTACTGCTTGGACTTGTTTAATTAAAGAGACGTCTCTTTAAATTGACTATATTTACTTTGTCACACATCATTTGGGTCTTTTGCATTGCCGAGAGTTGTTACCCGAAAGTTCATACATTGTATAATTTCTTGTTATCCTTCTGTGCATGGAGCCATCTTCTGGGTAGTACAATCCAGGTCGACCATGTTGAGATAATCATCATTTTAATTATGACAGCTTACCAAGTTTAATATTTCAGTTCTCCGAAACATAATCTGATTATGACAGCTTATCAAATTTAATATTCTGCACATGGTGAACTTCATCAAATTAGGATACGGATACCTACTTGTTTTATCATTCTATCAGCAACCTAAGCTCTTACTGTAAGATATTAAACCCATTTGTATTTCAGACCTTGCACGCTTCTGATGGGGAAGAAAAAAGTGACTTGTCCCTATGGAGACAATGGATCTCCTCTGTATCAAGGTGATGTTGGTTCGACAAATGGATATCTCTACCTTTTGTTTTCTAAAGAGTTGTGTCTGAAACATGGTGGAACGACGGGGAAATAGAATAGAGGGTCTATAATGAAAAGATGTTTTATTTTGAGCACCATGCAGAACTTGTTCTCAGAATACTATGCCATTTTTCATATGTTAACATGTGCTTCCAAATAAGTTCTATTAGTTTAGAAAAATGTAATCCTGCAAAAAACAATTCCACATTTAAATTTTAAATTTTAACATATATTGTATACGAGCTTATTTTAATTTTTTTAATTTAATATATGTTTATATGTTTACTTTTGAAGATCAATATAAAAATCATTGGCTTTGTATGTTGCTTTAAAAATGTCGATTGACTAAGTTACTGACATAACTATGATGGACTGAAATTAATCGAGTTTTATACAAGGAAAATGATTCCTTTCAGGCTGCCGGTGGAAGCTTACGCCAGTCGCCCGTGATTCGTTCAATCGCGTCTCATCTACCGGTTCTCCCTAATGCACACATCCAGGCGATTCAATCCCCTCCTTCATCCTTACCTCATGAGGAAACCGCCAGCCACTCGTTCTGTCTCATTCCTCTCATCTCTCAAGCTCGTTTTGTCCCTCTCTCACAGCACCTTATTTCTCCTTTTCATCTAGCGTCACTACCGGACGTAGTTGCGAGGGTGAATGTGGGGGGCAGGTGGCGAGCCGAATGCAAGTGCGAGTGAGGCGTCTGGCACGGGCAGCAAGGACGAACGCGTGCACGAGCCGTGCTGCTGCAGGAGGTGCCGCAACGTGATGCAACTGAGGAGGTACAACCGCCGGTTAGTGAAGCTGCAACTGTCAGATGGTGCCTACATTCAGACGGCCGGCTGCAAGCATGGCGAGATGGAAAGCTGCGACAGGCAAAGATTTTTGTTGGAACCGGTGACATGTTTTGTTGGGATCGACAGGGCGATGTGCTACGACGGTGACGCAGGGGCGGCGACGGTGTGTTGGGACCGGGAAGACGAATAACTTCAACCGACAATGATATTTGCTGGAACCAGTGGCATGTTTTGTTGGGACCGGAGGAGCGACGTGCTTGCATCGGTGACGGCGTGCGGGGACCAGCAAGACAAAAAGCTACAACCGCCAATGATTTTTGCTGGAACCATTCATGATGACACCGCGACACGTGACGAGGGGGGGGGTCGCGTTTTTGCTGCATCTATTATCATTTTTGCTACGCTCGATGTTGAAGATGCTATGGTGACGGGCTCGTCATCTATGCGGAGCTGCAACCATTGGAAGGCCAGACAAGTGCTTCCTGCTTCCTAGGAAGGCAAGGAATCAAGTACTGCAACGTCCGCCACTTTTTGCTGCGACAACCTTTGGATGGGCGCAGCGAGCCGCGGCGCTGCAAGCGGTCGATGAGGGGGTCATGCGCTATCTTTCCTACGACGAGGGACGGAACGAGCACCGAGGTGCCTCGAGCTGGTGGGCGCGAGATGAATTTTAGGCGGCTGTTCCATGTCTATTTTTGCTTGTTATGACAGAGATTGAGATAGATTATGGCGATATTCAGCAACGATCTATCACAAGGTTCCTAAGACGATGTTTTTG